TTATTTTCTTCAAAGACCTCAACAAAAGCAACATAAAGCAACATATTGAATGAAGAAGCAGAAGTGAGAATGGAACTGCATTCTACTAACCCAAACATTAAAGACAGTTGCAAATATCTTTAAAAAAAAAAAAAAGACAGTTGCAAATAGGTAAAACAATGACATCCTTTTCACTAATTATTTTTCATGGAAATCTGTTTTCAAATAAAATTATGGCATATACTGTAACATGTAGTGAGTTTGATATTAAACTTTTAAATAGATAAATACATATTGCTAAAATTTATCTTTTGATCTTTAATGTTGTGAGTATCAGTAGCTGTAGCTCACTTAAACAAAGGTTCTCTGGAGTCCTCAGTAATATGTTAGAGTATACAAGAGTCCTGGGACCCAAGTTTGGAAACCAGTGTTAAAGATGAACATTGCTTTCCCCATGGCTCCTTGTCTTGGGTTTCAGCCTGGATGACTAGTAGCTCATGGAATAATTAGCATGAGATTTGAAGCACCCTTTTTCCTACACTTGGGTGATAATTATACCATTCGTCACAGCAGAGGGTACCTGGCTCTCAGAAGTTATGGTAATACTGGTGGTAACAGTCAGATTAACAGGTGAATCCCACCAAACAATTAAAGAAGAGTTAATACCTATTCTCCCAAACTATTTAAAAAAAATAGAAGAGGAAGGAAAGCTTCCAAATACACTCTACAAGAAATGGATAAATTCCTAGAAATCAACAATCTTCCAAAATTGAATCAGGAACAAACAGAAAATCTGAACAGACCAGTTATTACTAACAAAATTGAACCAGTAATCAGAAAATTCCTACAAACAAAAGTCCTGGACCAGACAGATTCACAGATGAATCCCACCAAACAATTAAGGAAGAGTTAATACCTATTCTCAAACTATTTCAAAAAATAGAAGAGGAAGGAAAGCTTCCAAATACATTCTACAAGGCCAGCATTACTCTGATGCCAAAACTGGACAAAGGCCTCGCACAAGAAGAAAAGTACAAGCTATCTCCAATGAATACAGATGCAAAAATCCTCAACAAAATATTAGCAAACCACATTCAACAACACATTAAAAGGATCATTCACCATGATCTAATGGGATTTATTCCAGGGATGCAAGAATGGTTCAATATTCACAAATCAATCAACATGATACACGACATTAACAAAATGAAAGATAAAAATCATACAATCATCTCAATAGATGCAGAAAAAGCATTTGACAAAATTCAACATCGATTAAAGATAAAAAGCCTTCAACAAAGTGGGTTTAGAGCGAACATACCTCAACATAATAAAGGCCATATATGCCAAGCCCACAGCTAATATCATACTCACTGGTAAAAATGGAGACCTTTTTCTCTAAGATCAGGAACAAGACAAGGATGTCCACTCACCATTTTTATTCAACATAGTCCTGGAAATCCTAGTTCCAAGCAATATGAAAGAGAAAGAAATAAAACATATCCAAATTGGTAAGAAAGAAGTAAAACTGTCACTATTTGCACATGACATGATACTATACATAGAAAACCCAAAAGACTCTACCAGAAAACTATTAAAAGTAATAAATAAATTCAGTGAAGTTATAGGATACAAAATTAATGTACAAAGAATGTTAGCTCTCCTCTGTACTTGTGTCTCTAAAATTAGGATAACTTGATCCACAGTAGGATTGATATAGAATTAAAAAAGATAATTTATATAAATGCTCCAGCAGCACACCTGCATACAGTAGGAGTGGTATTGTTAAAATGTCCATACTATCCAGAGCAACCTATAGATTTAATGCAATCCCTATCAAAACAGTAACAGAATTTCTCACAGAACTAGAACAAATAATCCTAAAATTTGTGTGGAACCACAAAAGACCCCAAATAGCCAAACCCATCTTGAAAAAGAACAACAAAACTGAAGTATCATAATCCCAGATGTCAAGGTATACTACAAAGATACAGTAATCAAAACAGTATGGTACTAGCACAAAAATGGAGACATACATCAACAAAACAGAATAGAAAGCCCAGAAATAAGCCCACACTTTTATGGTCAATTAATCCACAACAAAAAAGGGAGGAATATACAATGGAAAAAAGACAATCTGTTCAACAAATGGTGCTAAGAAAGCTGGACAGCTATATGCAAAAGAATAAAACCAGACTATTTTCTCATACCATACACAAAAATAAATTCAAATGGATTAAGGACCTAAATGTCAGACCTGAAACCACAAAATTCCTAGAAGAAGAAAGAGGAAGCAATCTCTTTGATATCAGCTGTAGAAACATTTTTCTAGATATGTCTCCTTTGGTAAGAGAAACAAAAGCAAAATTAAACTACTGGGACCACAGCAAAATAAAAAGCATTTGCACAGTGAAGGAAACCATCAAGAAAACAAAAAGACAATCTACTAAATGGGAGAAGATATTTGCAAATGATATATTGGATAAGGGGTTAATATCCAACACCAACTCAACACCAAAAAATTAAATAATCCAATTAAAAGTAGACAGAGGATATGAATAGACATTTTCCCAAAGAAGACATACAGGCACATGAAAAGAAGCTCAACATCACTAATCAATAGGAAAATGCAAATCAAAACCACAATGAGATACCACCTCACACCTGTCAGAATGGCTGAATTAAAAAACACAAGAAACAACAGGTGTTGGCGAGGATGTGGAGAAAAAGGAAGGCTTGTGCACTGTTGGTCGGAATGTAAGCTGGTATAGCCACTGTGGAAAATAGTTTGGAGGTTTTTCAAAAAACTAAAAATAGAATTACCATGTGATCCAGTAATTTCACTACTGGGTATCTATGCAAGGAAAATGAAAACATTAGTTCAAAAAGATATATGCACTCCTATGTTTATTGAAGCATTATTTACAGTAGCCTAGATATAGAAGCAACTCAAATGTCCATCAATAGATGGATGAAGATGTGTGTGTGTGTGTATGTATATATATACACACACACACACACACACACATATATTGAAATAGAATGAAATCTTGCCATTTGCAACAACTGGGATGGATCTAGAAAATATACTGCTAAGTGAAATAAGGCAGACAGAGAAAGACAAATACCATATTATTTCACTGATATGTGAAATTTAAGAAACAAAACAAATGAGGGGTGCTGGGTGGCTCAGTCAGTTAAGTGTCTGCCTTCGGCTTAGGTCATGATCCCAGGGTCCTGGGATCTAGCCCCGCATTGGGATCCCTGCTCAGCAGGGAGTCTGCTTCTCCCCCTCCTTCCTGCTCATGCTCTCTCTCACTATCTCTGTCTCTCAAATAAATAAAATATTAAAAAAAGAAACAAAACAAATGAACAAATTAAAAAAGGGGGAAAAAAACCTTTTTTTAAAATTTTATTTTATTATGTTAATCACCATACATTACATCATTCGTTTTTGACGTATATTCATTGTTTGCGTATAACACCGAGTGCTCCATTCCATACGTGCCTTCTTTAATACCCATCATTCATTGTTTCATTGTTTGTGTATAACACCCAGTGCTCCATTCAATACGTGCCCTCTTTAATACCCATCACCTGGCTAACCCATCCCCC